ATAGAAAGAAGACATTAGTATTAAATCGGGTCAATTGTTATGTGTGGTTGCATTGAATGCAGAGAATTCTATTATTCAACATTTAAATCAATTACTGACTGCCATGACTAAATGTTGTCGTCAACCAAATCATGTTGCAGCAAATCATGTGAGAACTATATAATAATATATGAATTAGTTAATATTAATGAAAACTAATATTTAGGTTCGAAGAGGTGCTGAAATTATGAGTTATTTCATATCACCAAGTATTTATCTGAAATTTTTAATTCCTACAATGAGTGATACTGAACCACATGTAGGGCATATGATAATTTTATCTGGACTATTAAAAAATGTCAATTCAATTGAACTATCTACACATGTGAAATCTATTATTACTTTTTTGGAAAAACCAGAAATATGTGAAGTATATGATTCTCTATTCAAAAAATATTTACTTCAAGTAATTGAATATGTATTAGTTGCTTGTGAATCAGAATGCCAAGAATTGTCTTACGAGTTGTTTAAAATTTATATCACTGTACAAAGTACAACTTTGGATTCATTTGACAACAACTGTAAGTATTATTTTTATAAATAAGAAAAAGTACCTGGTGATTAACATAAATATGATTATGTTACAATTAGTTACAACTGAATATTTCAATAACTCATTCAAATTGTCTAATACCTTTATGTGAATCTTTTAACACACAACATTTTTAAAACTATTAGAGCCGTATTCATAGTCGATGCTTAAGAATAAGTATTCCTGAAGCTAAACTTATTACTCAAATAAGATTCATAAACTAGACTTTGGATTAAGAAAAGAAAAAGTATTAATTAAATTAAGGTTAGTCGAGACTTACCTTAAGCATTGCTTTTAGTTATTACCACAATTTTTTTTTTTTTTAATTTCCATGATGAGCAATACTTATTCTTAAGCATCGACTATGAATACGGCCCTTAATGTTTTAAAAAAAAAAAACTTTTTTACTTAATTTTAAGTCAAAAATATTTCTCTAAAGAAATTAGAATATATTTCATTGTTATAATTTTTTTGAGTTTATTTTATCTATATATATTTACAACTATATTTTCAACAACATGAATACTTTTTGAAATAATGAGTGTCTTCACTCAGTATACCTATTATGATTTTAGTTTCTGAGCGGAGCAATGAATGTATTGATTTTACAGTAATGTTTTTTATTTTTTGTGTCTGTGTACACGATAAGTAGTTGAAATAATGCTTCGATTTTCAACTTCAGTATCTTGTTTGATGGAAAAGTGAATCTAGTTGGTGCATTTAGGAAGTCAAAATTTAAAATTCTCAATAGTTTTCAAAAGGGCAGGGTAAAACAAAACAAAAATGTAGGAAAAACTTTAGTTTTTACGCAAAATCGATTTTGGTCTTTGGTGTAACTCTAAAACCATTTACCGTGGATACATGAAATTTTACATATATTTTAAAAATATTATTCATAGCTACTTGAAACTTCTAAAGTATATTATTATGTATAAATGATATTAATTATACTTACCAGCTACCGTATTATTATTATTAATAATATAAAATATCCTTGGCTGATAATTGACAAACCGTCTACGCTCAGAATCGTTTGTTGTATACAATGATATTATATCATTGAATTCAAAGTTAACACCATCCATAACAGTGACCCATTTGTAACCTATTGTACAACAGAGTGACATGCACTTACCCACTTTTTTTAATTTGATTATATCTCATCTTAAATAATAAAAAATATGTAATCAGTAATAGTATTTACATTTCTGATTCTTCTGGATTGGTATTTAAGTTTTACTTATAGTGATAAAATTGTTTTTATTTAATAATAATACTAAAAATATACTGTAGGTAATAGTAAAATAGTATATTCACTTGTTAAGTTCTAAAATGTAAGTGTTTGATTTATTTTTTAAATTTAATATGTTTGTTTTCAGTTATATTTAAAAAACTAATCAATATGTGTGAACCAAAAACAAAGGAGCAACTTTTTAAAACACATGGTGAAAAATTGCTAAATGAACTTAAAGATAGTTGTGATTCATGGGTAGTGCATTCACCAGGAAGAGAAGTTCTTGACAAAATTGCAATAGATGCTGGTAATTAATATATACATGTTATTATGCTACAATTTTAAATTACGTGTTATTTATTTTTAGAACATGTAGTCTTAAGCTGCTATGAAGTGTATCGACAGATTCTTACAAAAACATTATACAATCTTGATAAGGATCCAAAATTTCTTATGAAAATGTTGATCAATATAAATACATGCGTGGATAAAGATATTTTCAATAATAAACAACTTTGGCAAATACTTTCTGGTAAAATGTCATTATTAAAAGTAGGAAATAGTACTTATATATTTTTTATTTGATAATGTTCTAGGTATTATATTTCCTATTCTAACGTGGAGACCTGGTAAAACTGCTGAAAGTTTAAGAGCGGCTTCATGCCTGTGCGCACAAATTATAACTAAAAAGTTTACTTGTTTTGATGAAACAATGTTAAATCTAGTAAGTATATATTTTTACCAATACTTGTAATTATACCTACACTTTCTATTTCAATTGTTTCAAGAGTTTTCCAATATTTTTGGCCCTTGCTGATGATAACCACTGTAAGACTCGTACATATGCATTAGACACTTTACATTCTTTAGTTTGTGCTGCCAAAAATTTAGATAAAATAAATGCAGACACAATAAACAATATCACTAGAGGTATAGTAAAAGATTAAAATGCATGTGAGTTAAAACACTAATATTTAATGTAAAAATTTAGTTGCACTAGCTCGTTTGAATGATAATCCAGGAAATACACGATTCAAAGCTATTAATCTGATCAAAGCAACATACACCCAACCTCTTCCCAATGATTATTTGGTACATTATGAAGGTCACGTGGCTCAGTTATATAAAACAGTGATAATATTTTTAGATGATCAAGATATACAGCAATCCATACTCGGTAATAATTATTGATATATTTTAATAATAATAATAATTTAGAGAATGGATTTTGTTGTAATAATAAAATCAAAATATAAATATTTACTTAAATATCATATACTTATTCTCATTGAAATATATGATAGCTGCAAATAGGTTTATGAAAGCTATTAAGATAATATTTTTCATCATAGATCGGTGAACAATAGTTAAATTAAGTTAAATAATAATACAATTTTGATAAATACCTGAAATAATCTTAATATTTATAAATTATGTGTTCACACCCAAATATGTAAAATTAAATTAGCACCAATTTACTAAGAAATTCAAGAAACTTATTAATATGTAACAAAATATAAAATATTACAACTAAGGTAAAAATATTATATAATTATTAACTATAATAAAATTCTGTTCTGTACTATAAAATAGGGTAAATATGATTCCAAACTTATTGACTTATGGTCATTATTTAAATTTTAAATGAAAAATTTACAAAATATTAAATATTGATTATCATGTTGAGTTAAAAAAATAAATATATGACTGTAGTTTATTATTGAAGTTAAATTAATATGTATAATATTTTTATATTCATTTTAATTACAAAAAAGCAATATAAATTCATAAAAATGCTGGTCTTTTTTCTGGTATAGTTTAATTTGTTGATGTTAATATTATTTTGATTTAATATTGTGGTTTCTAATTTATATATGTTTTGTTTTTTACCTTTAGACTTGTTAAAAGATCTTTCATGGATGAAACCTGATATACTTATCAAACATATCAATGTAAATGTGTTTTCACATAAACACTTTGCTCAAAGTTTAATGGATTATTTGTCTGACAATCTAAGTCAAATTACACTTCAAAACAATAACACAGAATAGTATTGACAATTACTGTCTATTTTTATGCACTTTAAATTATAATTACTGTTGTTATCTAATATACATGTTTTTTTTATTACTATTATTATTGTCAAATAAGCTATGATAATTATACATTTGTTTATTATTTTTTCTAAGAGGCAGAACTACTATGTACTACATAAAAGTTCTAAAAATAAAATTTATTTTTCTTTACACATACTATTTGGCATATTTTAGCATTTTATTGAAGTTTCGAACAAATGAAATAGTTTTGATAACAATTTGAAAGTATGCTAACTAGTAACTACATATATTTTCATATTGGTAAATATTTTCTTCTTTTTTAATTTCAAAATATATATATACAATCAGTATTATAGTCTGTACCCTACGGCAGCATAATAATATTATGTAATATGTGCATTTTATTGACAATGGCGATGCTTGATTGGTTTTTTTTATGATTATTTACTTCATAAATATCTGCTCCATACGTCTTTGGAGGATTACTAAGAAATACTTTGATTGAGTCAAGGAATAAGGGATGGGGTTTAGTGTGAAGGTGAGCATGGAACCTCTAGAAATGTTTCTTCTTTCCGAACAGTTTTTAAATGAGAATCAGTATGGAGATTTTGGAATTACCTCGTAAAATGACACGTAAACCTAGGACAGCCCTGACGTTAAACTTGTTAATAGTAAATGTAATTAATTTGTTTGGTTTTAGCAAAAATTAAAATAAAATTATATTATTGAAGTTATGATATCTTCGCCCTAACAATCTAACAACATGACAGATGATGCTTTTACAACATACATTACAATTTTGACAACTTTTTATGTGTAAGGATTGATTAAAATGTGCATAAAAGGTTTCATTGTAGATGTTGCACATTAGCCAGGTACTTATACTATTTACCAGGTATTTGACTTGAATTATTCAAAATTAACCAAATAATTTAGATTTATTGCTTTAAAGTTTTAAATATAGTTTAACTTGTTTATAAATTCAAAATTCTTAGCTGAAATCAGAAGAAACATTAACATACTTTAACAGTTAAATTTAGAAATAAAGTAACAGAAACTTAAATATGAATATAAAATGTAACAATCTTAACTTGTCTTATTTTAACTATAAGTTATTATTATATTATTATACTATAAGTTATTTTTTGATTGCAATACAATTTGTTGGAACACCAGCTTTTGTGATTACTTGAACTTGGAGGTCATAAGCACTTGCCTTGTTTTTGACTACCTCAATGTCATCAGGGTTTTTGTTCAACATAACTGTCAATACATCATCACTACCAGTATAAAACTCGGTTAAATGTTTATTGAATACGTCCCAAAATTCTGGAGCCATACGTTTATTTTCATCAGCATCGTTGTCATCTTTTAATGTAATTGATTCGACATTACGATGAAATTCTTTATCTTTTTTTAATTTATGAATCTCATAAAGTATTGTTTCATTTTGAGGTTCATGTTTCAATGCCATGTCAAGCTTTTTCTTCGCTTCTGTAAAATCTTTTAACAAGCGTAATGCTTTACCCCAGTTGAAAAATAATTTTGCTGAGCGTTTGGAAAATCTCTCTGAATATTTCAATGCCTCTATGCCCATACGACATACTTTATTAAACGCACATTGTTTTAAGTAGCACACGCTTAAATTTGTATAGATCTTATTCAAATATTTCATCATTTCTATTTCTTCGTTGTCACTTTTGCATCCAGCTATATGCAGTAGTTCTAATGCTCGATTATATTTAAATACGGCTTTATCTATATTTTTAAGTTTAAATTGTTCATTACCTTCAAAATGCAATTTTTTAACTTGTACCATATTTTTATTAAATGCATCAGGATCACGGTTTTCTCTATCAAAGGTTATGATACTCTCAGGTGATAAAAAGGAAACAAGATGGACATCAAACAGAATAGTTGCGTTTGGTGGTATGCGAGGTGGGCAACCCAATTCTCTGTATGCCAATTCTGGCTGTATTATAAACCTTGCGTTTTCACCAGTAGTCATCGTTTTTATACCAATTTCTAATCCTGGAATGAGTTCACCACTACCCAATGTAAAACGTTTAGGTCTTCTGCCTTGAAGATATGTTACATCAAATGGTTCTTGAAGGTTTGATATATAAGCAATATAATGTATCAAAACCACATAGTTTTCTGGTACAACTTGACCAATCCCTGCAATAGAAACAAAATATAAATTATAATTTATACAATTAAAACTGTTTAATACATAGAAATTCACCGGATGTTCTAATTCAAAAAGATTATCAGTAAAATTAGGGTCCCGTATGTTACTGCGATCTATTTAGATAATCTTAATGTTGCGGTTGAAAATAAGGTTAGAAGCAGTTGTGTAGACAGTAATAATCTTAAGAGTCTTAAGAAGATACCAAACCTTTGTCTTCGTCTTACAAACATATAACCACATAGCAAATTTGAGTTCACCAGAACAAATTTTGTGTTAGGTTAGACCTTTGGCGATGCTCACCAATTAACAATTAACAGTATCCACCAAGTTCAATTAAGGGGCAACGTGTAGCAGTAACCTTTTTTTTTAAAAAAACTGGTAAATTCATTAAAACCAGAAATATCAAAAAAATTAACGTTATATTTGTTTTTTATATTTTATATTTTTTATTCATAATTTTATTCTATTCATGTCGTAGTACCTACGCTGGGAGACCTCAATAGTACGTTTAATCTGCCTTTTTATTATTTTTATTTTAACCTATATTTACCGTCAATTGTTCTTATTGTTCTATTTTTTGTAACAGATTGTATAAAAACTTGTAAAGCAAAAAGAAATAATTTTATTTACAAGATAATAATAACTGTAATGTAATAATAAGTAATGAGCACCAATCGTAGATACTAAGTACGATTCATTGGTTCATAGAAATATTATAGAACATATTAGATGATTGTTATTCATTTTATTTTATTAAAATTTTTGTCGCCGTTGATTAACACTTTTTGTGAACTATTTTTCAATCGATGATTTTGGGTAATATACTTATTTAATTACCTTACTTATTTAATTTAGTTTGTCCTGAACCATTTTATAAAGTGGATATTTGTTATGTGTAAATTAAGGTAAGATTAAAATTGTCCAAAAAAAAACATAAATAAAAACCGTTTCGGAAGTGGTTACCGGTAAACTTGAAGAATTAAAACCGCTTCCAAACCGTTAACCACATTTTTAGAGATAATTTTGGTAACCGGTAATCAATTACCACTAATTCTAAAAACCCCTAAAACCGGTAACCCCTTACAAAAATTTTTTTGGATCCTATAGGACCCGGTAATCAAATTTTTCACAAGTGGTTTCATGCCCTGAATTATTTTAACATTTCGATCTTTAGAATGCATCCCAACCTATATTAACAATGCGCAAATTCCATCTTCCACGCAAACTAAATATTTTGGCTCGATACTTGACAAACGTCTTACTTGGTCCCTCCCCTTAAAAAACAAGCATAAAACTATCAATTTGAGACTTTATCTTCTTCCGTCTTAAGCTCTCCTTAAAAACTAAAAAAACAATATACATGGCTCTTCTAAGACTCGTGTAGTACTATGGCATTCAACTTTGGGGCTCAACCAAACCTTCAAACACTATACTCAGGTCGAAATAAGAGAGCACCGCTTTGGCGTCTTTCACGTCTGACCTTGTACTACTCAATCGTTAAAATGGTGTGACCAGCTGCAAGCGGAACAGACAGTGAAAGAAAACTCTACCATGAGCGAGTTTCGACCGGTTTTTGTCCGCCGCCCGGTGCGCTCTTATTTGGACCAGAGTATAAAATAATACAGGCATTCCAGTCTATATGTCGACAATTATTATCAGGTGCGCCATGGTACATCAGCATTGACTCATTTAGTCACTTCATAAAGACATTAGCATTCCAACATTAAATAACCTTGCTACTCTCGCATACAAAAAAAACACACAAAACTTACAGTACACACTCAAATCCTGATCACTCCCTATATTATCCAAGCAAATTCCAGGTAAACCACCCAGACGCCCTGATCTCTCCCTAAACACAATTTCCATGGTTAATGGACAATTAACTTGTCAACAAACTTAATCAAATTTAACCATTGAAGGCATAACTTTTAAATACAGATTGTAAATATACTAAATTTTGTTCATTAAAACTAAAAAAATTAAGTATTGAAAATGAAAACACTGAGCACCAACATAATAATATTATGTTGAAAGATTAGGAAAACATAAACATTCCAACATTTTATGCTAAATTGTTACCTAAAATATGAAATTTAAAATACAATAGAACAACGCATCATCTATAATATTATATACTGCCGTCATAAGCAAAAACGCCGTAAGTCACTGGAGAACAGTTTTTGTATTTTGTATTTCCATAAGATCACGGCGTTTAAGTTATTTGATTATTGATTGTATTATATGTTTGGAGTAATATTTCAGACATAAGGCATATTCGTCTACACAAGCTGAATTTCACAATAATTTTTTATTTTTTTGGGACTTACGGCGTTTTTGCTAAGACGGCAGTGTAGGCCTAGTATTTTTTATTTAATTTAAATTTTTAACATTCATATTGTTTTGTTTATTTTTAATCAGTAACAAAAATTTTAAAAAAAATCAGTACTCACCCGAATTCAGTAATATTTTTAACACCTTGCGATCGCCAGTAAGATCTTCGTGGTTTGTATTAGTAATGAGATGGTTAAAAGACTCCAGATTATCACCTTCATCTCCTATCATATCGAAATTAATAAACTCGGCCAGCTCGGCGTCGTTATAAGAAAACGGTTCATCGACGACTTCGTTGGGTCCGTTATCCACCGTAAAACAGTATCCGTCCTGTTTGCTCAGAATTTCTTCCGACGCTGTCTTGAGTATGCCAAGTACACTCTCCGGGATCCCGTCATTGTCGCCGTCGGCCATCGTGAACGATTCAAACAGATTGCACGTTGAGTGTCACAGGGGACCGGTGCGACTGTAAACGACAATGCTGCAAGTTTGCAACTGGAATAGTGGAATGTCTCACGTCTGAAACAAATTTGAATTAAAAAAAAAAAAAATTAATTATAGCTTTAAATGAAACGGGAATTTTGGAAACGACCATCCGTACACTCTAACGGATTACGGAAAAAGATATTGAATTTCAATTATACGTCTATACAATTCAAATGCTCTACGAATTCAACCATGAGTGGATGATTATAAAAACATGTAACACCTTATAATATACCAATAATATATATACCTGTATTCCGTGGTCCCACAACAACGAAGTACGAAGTACGAACTACGAACTACTACTATTGTTATATTCTGTGCTACTACTGTGTAACTACATAACAAAACTATAACCAGTTATTTATATGTTATCTATGACTATAACTATAAATTATAATAGCGGGAAACTGTTACAATCATGACAAAAATACACAGGTTATGTCAGTAAATTTGTGATAGCCGATAGGCATAAAATGGCCACCGGTATGAACCGGTCTTCATTGTTTTAATTATCATTCACATTTATAAGTCATGTGATCGATTCTCGAGATCTCGACCAATGAGAATTGGAGCCAAGCCATATGCCGTCTTTGCGCAGAAAAATCATCGGATTGAAATATTGCTGACATACCTATATAATTTGTCATGGTAACAACTAACAATATTTTAAAATTGAAATTCACCAGACACCATACAGCCATTGTCTTATTCTGTGGTACAGCGTACCCAGTACCCACGTGTTCATGATATATGAGAATATGGTGGGCGGGGTGGCATATTATAAAAATAATATTAATAATGTGAAATTGTACAACCGACAAAAAGCATAGAATTCCACTGTTCCGTAGATATAAAAATATTATGTTTTATATTAATAAATTGTAATTCATATAGGTATTTCGTTTCATTTAGAACTTCCTTTATTCTTTGTACAACTTGATGATAAAGGATAAATTTATAAAACCGCTAAGTGTAAGTCTGAGTCACACCATCTTAGTCAGTGGTTTTATAAATTAGATACTATAATATTATGTTCTATAATACCTAATAATATTTTATTAAATTAAAATACGTTCAAACCCCCGCATTCAATTCAACCTTTTGCCGTAAATCGCAAACTTCGTAAATATTCAGTTTTTTTAATTATTATTGATTATAATAACTTACGATTTAAGAATATTGTTTCGTACAGCCCTTCAGGAATCCAAAAGCTGATATACTTTTATAATAAACAATAGTCAAATTAAAATAGCAAACAAATGTAGTTTTATTAAAACCAAATAATAAAGCAATATTATAGTCGTGGTAATTTGTAGTAGTGTGAATTGACTCGTAGCAGCACCTCCGTGTAGTCGTGTATAAGCCGCTCGCTCGGTCTTGGCGGCTCTGGTACATCTAAATATCTAATCTGTATTGTAACCCTGTCCTCTGTATATTCGGAATTGAATTGAGCGGCGCGTGGCATGCAGGCCACCTTGGTAAGTGGTAGTGGTTTAGACGGTTTGGTGCGTCTATTCTAGTCATAACTCATAACCACTTTTGGGTGCGGTCGACGAGGTCGCCTTTCACCAAAGTGGTTCTTGTTTTTATGAGCGTTTACATGAAATGATTATAATTGCGTGATCCCGTTACAATATACTGAGTACCTACGTCCTACATACTGTACGTCTGTGTACATAGTGTATCTTAAGTCATTCTACGCGGGAATTTTTATCGATTATGGATCGATGACATAGAATTTCATCAAAACGAAAAAAGACTTTATTTTGAACGGGCAATTTTTTTGTAACAATTTCAAAATTTTTAAACACGCAGGTACACCAATAGCAAAATTAACTTTTTTTTTCAAATGGTAACTACTATATTTTTAATGGATTCTGGTAAAGCTTTTTTTTCTAAAAATTTTGATAGTCAAATCATCAATTTTGGTTTGCTTGTTTATTAACTATGGTCCTCTAAGGTTTAGTAAAATATGCATTAATAGTTAATACCGTAAAACTGGGTATAAATGTTGATAACTTCTGTACACTGTTATAAGAAATGTGACTATTATCAAAATGTTGTGGTTGATTCTGATTGCTGACCTTCGACCATATAAACTAATAGTTAGTACCTAATAATACTTAGTTTATATGGTCGAAGGTTAAAAGCACCTCTCAAAACTTTTGTTTCGTTCGCATATATTCAATCGCCGTAGAACTTGGGAAGTTTGATATTGTCTTACAAATATACTTCTAATAAAGTATTTCTTAGCAATTTAAAAAAAAATGAAATTTGCTAAGTTAAAACACGTTTTCTAGGCCGGGGTAACTTTGTCCCATTATTTTTTGGTGGGCCAAAGTTACCCAGAGCTACTATCTGAGTAGAAAATATTATTTTATTTTCCTTTTTTGGGATTATATTGCTATTTTCATATTCAAAATAGTCTCTCCAGGTACTTAATTTGTATTGTCACTCATCTGTCTCGTTATTTTTGCTTAACAGACTACCATGCCGCGGAATAAAGGACGGGAACTAGGTACGAGGGCCTATCAGAATTACAAACCAGAAGTGTTAGAAGCATGCTTACGAGCCATAAAATCTAAAGTAATGTCCCAACGAAAAGCTTCAGCACATTTCAAAATTCCTCGATCAACAATTAAAAACAAACGGAAAAAAAAAACTACGGTAATAGTATTGGCCATCCAACCGTATTTAGTCGCGCCGAGGAATTAAGTTTTGAACAGCATTGTATTACACTATCAAATTTTGGTTTTCCTTTGGTCCCTTACGACTTAAGGATGATAATAAGCCGGTAATTATGTATAAGAGGCGTACGCGTATCCAAATTTAAAAATAACATTCCAGGGATCGACTGGGTAAATGGATTTTTAAAAAGGCACCCTAATTTATCGGTTAAAGTTAGTGCGCTAACATCAAAAAAACTCGTGCCAATATTACTGCTGACGATATTAACGAATACATGAACCGGCTTGAGCAGACCTCGCCGGGTATTCCACCCTCAAGAATTTACAATTATGATGAGACGAACTTGACCGATGACCCCGGCCAGCAAAAAGGTGTGAGCAAATATGTTGGTGACCTAGACGTCGATAAAGCCAACTACAATGTTGATGATTTTTTTATTGTCAAGTTTGATAATAGGTAACATGTTTCCCGGTCGTATCGTAACAATATCCGACAACAGTGCCACAATTGACTGTATGGAAAAGCGGTCAAAGAGTTGGAGGTGGCCAACCAAAAAGGACTGCATCGACTATGAGTGGAGTGACGTGATAAGAAAAATCAAACCACCAATATTAGGCAAACGAAATTTTTTCCGGGTGCCAGAGCACGAGGATTTTGTTCAATAAATTAACTTTTTTTTATATTAACTGCAAAAAGGTACCTAAGTAATGCAGATTTTTTTGATATTTTGAACTCATGTAATAAACATTAAAATACAAATTTTTTTTCGTTATTACAGCTTGTTTTACTATAAAACCTGGTTAAATTATTTCTCAGGTACTTGCTAATTAATTTAGCATAGGCTAACTTTAGCCCAAAGTTGTGTAAACGGTCAATCTATATTCTATAGCGATATTTGGAGGTGAGACAAAGTTACCCCATTTATGGGTAACTTTATTAAAATTCCCAACAGTTTTCACGAGCGCCGGGAAAAACAAAAGAAAAATTAAGGAAAAACGGGAATTTTTAATAATGTATGTTATGTTCTTAGTTCTCAGATCCGATTTTTCATAGTGGATTTCACTATGATCAATAAAACCAAAATACTCTTGGTATCCGGCGCCATCTCTAACAGTTTGGAGTAATATAAGCCAATGAAACTGGAGGGGAACCCCCTAATACTTACGCAAGACAATAAGTTGAGGAGATTCCTACGATGTGACTTGGGCAAAGTTGTGCAAACAATCAAACGGGTATTCTGGAGTAAGTCAAGTTTGACCACACCATTGTTGGAGCAGTTATTTAAAAGTGTAAACCATCAGGAGGAGCCAACCTTGGCAACGGCATACCTACTCAGTCAGAAACAAAAAACGTGTATAATAAAGGATACTTCTAAAATGTTGTATACAAATCTAAGTACAGTGGCACACCATCACCGTGCGAGCAGACGGTCTCAAAATCCAACACTTCTGGACTCAAAATGGAATGGTCCTCTGCTTCCGAAACTTTTAAATCTCCGTCTTCAGGTACAGTGTCTTCGTCGTCGAGCGGCGACGCGCTGTCGTCTGCTGCAGAGTCGGAGCTCGCTCCGATCCCAACGACAGCACCGCTCGGCGACGAAGACGGAGATTCCAAAGTTTTTGAAGCGGAGGACCGTTCCATTTTGGGTCCAGAAGTGTCGGATGAAAAGATCGAGCCCACCAGGGGAGAAGCGGTGTTGAATAATTTTGGTGAGCTCGTCGGTTGGTTAGACCCGGCGGCTGAAGCACCCGCAGTCTGCGATGAGCCTCCAAAGAGGTGGAAGAGCGTTAGACGCTTTTTCTGCGGACTGTGCTGCTCCTGCCGATGATGAGACGTCCGCAGCTCGCCCCCCTGGGCGTAGATGACGGACAGGAAGACGGCGACGGAATGGAGGGGAGGATGCGGGAAAGAGCACGGACGGTGCCCGGCGGTAAGTCACCCGCGCACGTTCTCCGACCTGCACCCGCGGCGCGACGGGTTCGCTGGCGTGGCGAGCTCGGTCGTCGATGACGCGTGAGACTCTCTGGCTGCTCGGCGAGCGCCCGACCGCAGTTACGGTCACGTGGAGCAACGGCGACGGTGGATGGCGATGGCACGGCGGCTAGTAGAGGTACAGGGCAACGATTCCGCCCCGACGGTACACCGACTCGGTACGACGGCGATGCATAGACCTATTAACTAGTTAATAGGTCTATGCGGCGATGGCGACTCAGTAAGACGGCAGCGGCGGAGACCTGGGCGCGGGTTGAGTGGTAAGGAGATTTGAGTGCTAGGAACACGGGGACGACTCAGCGGCGCTGGACTCGCAGAAACTTAACCGTTCCAGGGTCTGGCGGCCGAAGGGACAACGCCAGAGCGAAAATTACCGAGAGTCGAGGATCACCCTGTGGTCCGCTGGCTCTCGCCTTTTCGCCCCGCGGTAATCCCAAGTCGGCCGATTCGCTCGTTCCCACCGGTTCCGCAACACAGAATCTCACATCGCTCGCTCCACGTCTTGGTCTTCGCCGTCCGTCGCCGTCAACCGTGGTCGCTCCCGTGGCCGTCTCGGTCTGGCCTCGCCGGCTGGGCAAGGTCGTCAAGCGTCCGAGCCATAGATAATAAAGATATGGATAGGACATAATGGACGAGAGTATAACAAAAGCTAACTTGTTATATGAACTACAAGACTTTTCTTCAAAATGGGACCGCTTAAAATTAACACTTGATGAAGAGTACGAATTTGATAATTTTATTAACGAGGAACAGCAATTAGAACTAAAAGAAAGCACTAATTCCAGTTTAGAAATTGAAAAAAAATCGTCAATATTATGTAATAAAATTAAAGCGTGTCGAAATTGTATTTTGTGTTGCTATATAGTACTACTGAAATATAATCTGTACAGCGAAGCTTACAAGACACTAATTTTTGCATACAAATTCATTCTATCACTGTCGTCAACACAAGTAGCTTGTGAAAGAATGTTTTCAAAATTGAAATATATTCTCAATAGAATAAGAAATTCATTGAGCCATGATCATTTAGAATCATTTATGCTTATGTCAGCTGAATCTGATATTTTGATGGCGTTGGATAATGAAATCATAATCGACACACTTTCGCAAAAGAGCTCAAACCTAAACAAATTGCTTAATATGTATAATTATTATTTAATGTGTAGTTATTCTAGAGTCTAAATATAATATGTATTTTAAATAAAAATGATAACATTTCTTTGTACTAACTAATTTTTAATTTTTTTAATTTTTAATAATAATATTAAGTGTTGAAATTCTCAAAATAATATACAATCATTTTATATGGAAAAATATGTTTTTAAAGTTGTTTTTATAGGTATACCTAAGTGGGCCGATTTTTTTTATTTTCCCGGTAGAAATTGTTGACCCAGTCCGGCCCTGTATATAGGTACCTATTTTAAAGTTAGATCCGAATATTGTTTTTCTTGGTGCTTTAAATTATAGTAAGGGTACGCAAAAAAAATAAAACAGTAGGAGGGCTCCGTCTCCCTGTCCCCCCACCCCCCACAACAATTCGAGCATCGGTTAAGGGGTATTTTAACGTATTTAAATATAACAGCTTATAAAGTGATAAGAATAATAACAAATTTAATTTAAAGGTTTGCAATTGTATGGTATTTCATATGACAAATAAGATGACGGACATTATGATTTATTTTGTATCGTATTTTATTATTTCTAAATATGTAGTTTAAAATAAAATAAAAATATTTTATAATAAGTAATTTTACATTTACTATTTTATTTGACCATTAAAAAAAATATTATTTTGTATAATAAATTAAATGTTTTGCCAACCGACAAAATGGCGGCCGTTCACAGCTGAGATTCACTTGTAACAATGTAAATTGTATAGGAATTCCTTATCTAGTGTAGTCACAGTCGTGATAAGCAGTCCTGATGATAAGATAGGATTAACCTTAAAAATGTCATGTCGTAACATAATAATATAATATAAACATTACATGTGTTATACTGTTATTGTATTTCACTCAAAAGTATTAAAATAAGTTTATATTTTAATATTTGTAATATTTTTTTTTTTTACTCCAAACAATGGAGGACATTACTGCAGTGTTGAACAAGAAAGCTGCACTAGATGTATCAGCACAACAAAGCGTTTCTGTGACTAAGGTATTAGATCCAGAAATTGATTTGGGTACACTTCTAAGTTTCGATTCAAATGATTTTGACACTCAACAACTCAGGTACAACAGTTAACAATGCAATATTAACTTGATATGTTATTTTGTGTATAATAATATTTAATGTGTATGCCATTTCATTCACAGATCAGATCAAGAAAAATACTTAACAAATGAAACTAGGAATAATGTGCAGTTATTGATAAACAAATTATTTGAATTGCCTATGAAAAATGAAGATGGTTACATGTATGTAGATTTACCAGAACCTAGATATAATTTACCCCGTGAAAAACCATTACCAACGGCTAAACCACTTACCAAATGGCAGAAATTTGCCATTGAAAAGGGAATCAAGAAAACATCTAAACCAAAAGCAACTTGGGATGAAATTTTACAGGTATTTTTTTTTATAATTAGCGTAAGGTGTACTAGTTCTAGGATCAAGTTATAAATTATATTAGTTATACCTAAATCAACTTCTTCTGCATTAGTTTTGTCATAATTTCAATTTTTTTGTGTTAGGGAGTTGCTTTATACTTATTAAAATCACATTTTATAAATGTTTTTTCTTGATACTAAACATTTTATTATTAAGAGGACACCACACCCGTATGTGTTGTCTCTGTCTTACAAATATATAACACGGCAAATTTTACGTTCAGGATAATACATTTTACTCTGTAAATTCTAAGATTAGAGTGAAATAACCTGTTATAAAATGTAATAGTAAGATTATTATTTAGGGCAACTCATAGGCTTTTATTGATATTTATATTAAGAAGCAAATTATGACCTTTTTGAAACTGTATATTTTAAAATTATCATAACTTACTTAAAAGTATCAATAAAATCCTCCGAGATGCCCTAATTAATAATCTTACATTTAATAAAAACATGGGCCAATTCACTCTAATTTTAAAAATAACAGAGTAAAATGAATTATTGAAAACGTGCAATTGATATGCTATACATTTGTTAGACAGAGACAACACACATGGGTGTGGTGTCCTCTTAAAAACATTTGAAACATGCTTGATTATTTAAAATTTAAGAAGTTTACCAACAATACATAGTAAGTTTTTGACAATAATATTATAGGTGTATTAAAATGGTTCATAACATTTTTTTAACCAACAAACTACAAAAATATTAACTAATGATTGTTTATTTTAATTAACATTTGTTAAATTAATTTTATCAGAATATTTTTCCACCCCAAAGCATTTGCCTCTTCCATAAAATTGGTCCTGGGTATAATAAAGATTTAATTTTACCAACTAATAAATAACGTAACTAATATATATTATATTCCTTATCTGTTATATTTATGTTTACTTCATTTCCATATTTTAGAAATGGATACCAACTTATGGTTACAAAAAAGCTGCTGCAGACAAAGAAAAAGATTGGATATTGGAAGTGCCTGGTAATGCTGCTGATCCAAATATTGATTTATTTGCTCAAAAACGAGAAGCAAAGAAAGAGCGTGTTGCTAAAAATGAGTATCAAAGATTACGAAATATAGCTGCTTCACGTAAGATAAAAGTTCCTGCTGTTGGATTACCTCCTTTAGAAGGAACATTACATTCAAATCAGGTAACATTTCCTAATATTTATAATTGTATTACCATTAATTAATTAATTAATTAACTGTACATTTTTAATAGTTGAAAACGGCTGTTGATGTAGCTAAGATATCTACTGCATCCGTTGGTAAATTCCAGCCAAAAATAAGCAAAGAGGTGGTATCTACTAAAAAAAATATACCAGGATTAAAGAAAGATAAAATCCCAGCTAAGGTATGTTGATAACCATATAATTACCATAGACCTAATACTCATAGACGGAGCATTACAGGCTAGCAGGGTCGGGCAGTGGGGTCCTTGAAAATGTGTGTTACATTCAGTGGCGCCGAAGTCCATGCTGACGTCGGGCCGTGGCCCGACCTCTTTTTTGAAAAATGTGGCCGGCCGGCCATATTTAATTTACATCATAACTTTATTATAAGCATGAGTAAATTTAAACCGTGATTATGAATAAATTTATATTAGGGTACCTCTATATTAAATAATTAAGATATTGAGGCCGGGAAGTTTTAAAGTTGCCCGACCACATTTTAAAAACTTCGGCGCCACTGGTTACATTGATATATATTAAATACTATTATACACAGTTTATTGTATCATCTACTGCTCATGTGCATAGACAAGGCAAGTTGAGCAGAGCAGCCTGGTAAGACCATACGGTTCACACCCTTGCTCGGTGCTCCTATCTATTAGTATAAAAGTCTATGGTAATTACAATGGTTAAAAGTTATATTTTTAACTTTTTAATGTAGTAGTGTATCTGCTACCTTACCATTTTAGTTTGTATATTAAGTTAAAGTATTAAACTTATTTGTTTATATTCTACATAGAACATTTTAAATTTGTTCTACAAAGTTATTTATTTGTTCATTCTAATTTGTTGGTCAATTTTATAACTATATTGAATTCAATAAAGATCATATGATAATTAATGATAATATTTTTTAATTTTTTTTTTGCAGAGCATGAAAGATGAAAAATCAAGCAGTCTTCAAATATTAGAATCAATTAATAACAAAAAACCAAAATTCAATTTAGAAAAAGCTGCTAATAAAGCTATTCACGCAGAGGAAGTCGAGTAAATATATTTATAAAAACTTTTTTTTTGAATCCTTATTATTATTATGTGTTTATTAGGAGACATAGAGAGAAAAAAGAAGGAAGTGATAAAAAGAAAGGAGGACGTTCACGCAGCAAAGGATCATTTAAAAGACCTACTGCCAATACTGGCAAGCGTTTGGGAAAACAAAAAGGTGGTCGTAAACGTAGATAAATTAATGATTTATTTTTATTTTAATGAACTATATGTTAACTTTATTAATAAAATACAAGTATTTTTGACTCTTGTAGTTATGGTTTATATTTTTACTTATTTAAATTTAACAATTCCAAATATATTATTCTCTTAAAATGTTATGGTACCTATTAAGGAGAAGTAACACTGGTATTTGTTGTCTCTATCTTACCAGTGCTTAACATGGCAAATTTAAGCTCAGCAGGACACTTGTAGCTTCGTTAGTTTAAACATTAAAGTAAATTTACCTATTATGAAACTTGCTGGTAAGAACATTATCTGTGTCTGTACGTTGATTTTTTTTATGATAATTCAGTTTTTAAGTGAGTTATGAGCATTTTAATTTACGGTGTATTATATACGCATAACTTGCTAAAAAATTGAATCATCGTAAAAAAAACCAACATACAAACACAGATATTCTTACCATCAAGATTTATAATAGGTCAATTCACTCAAATTTGTAAACTAACTAAGCTACACATGCTCTGCCGCGCTTAAAATTTCTATGTTAAGCACTTGTAAGACGGAGACAAAAATTACCAGTGTTACGTTCTCTTAAAATGATTTAAAACTCACCATTTGTACGGAGTTTTTATAGATGCAATATTTAAAGTATACGCTTAGAGTAAATTGATCAATTTTCATTCCATCATACCAATAAATCAAATCACGTAATTTTAATATTCAGAATTGATTATTGAACTTATGAACTTTTTACTATTTTTTTTAAAAATTAATGTTGATAATTGTTGGAATTGTTGAAAATGTAATACAATGTTCTCATAAGTTGTAAGTGGAAACTGAAAAAAAAGTTAAGCCTAGAAACTTTAAATTTTTACCAAATGTTTTTATCATTTTTACGACTGATAAAATTTTCAAAATATTTTTACTCATTTTGAGCTGTTTCCAGAAATGTTTATTTTTTTTTCTATTTATGTCAATAATATTTTATTTGTTGGATCAAAAAACTTGAATATTTTAATGTGCTCCTCCCTCATTTTTACAATACCAGTTTAAAAATGCATAGGCAAGATTTTCTTAATAAGCATTTAAAGTCAAAATGTTGGCAAAATTACAATATATTTTGTACCTAGTTTAATGGCTTAAAATGTTCAATTTATACAACTAAAGAATAAGGATTGAAAGTGAAACAATCTATAAAATATATAAACACAGTTTTTTTAAAAGTTATTTTAAAATCTAATTTGAATGAAATTACTTATTAAAACCAGGAAAAACGATTTTAGTTATTTTGTTGTAATTTGAAAATATTAATATTATTCGTGGGTACTTGAAACTTGTAGAGTAGGTATATTATTATATTTTATACACACAATGATATTTTGAAATGCTATTTTTTCTTTAAAAAAAATACTTGAAGCACACAATAATATCATAAAACATACCTACCTACTTTATGTATATTTTCCCCTTATTGTATTTATTCTTCCACTAATAAGAGAACACATTAATTTTACCATTACCACTTCATTTATTCCTAATAAAAAAATCAACCTTTATAATCAAATAAAACAAATTATATTTTTAGATTTTAGCTTTTTTTTATGACAATATAATAAAATACATTATATAATATATTATATTATATTATTATCATAGGCGTGCGCACGGGGTGTTCCGGGTGTGCCTGGGCACCCCCTGACATTTAATTGGGGCCCTAAAATATTTAATATTTATTTGATGTTTAGCATTGTACAAGTTGTTCATATGAACAGGTAGTTATATTTGAAATTAAATATTGTGAAAAGTAAATTCAGAAGTATCATGACCCAATACTGTTTGGAATCATTAATTTTACTTTTTACGGAACAAGAAATGGCCTCTAATGTTGAAGTAGATTTAGTTATTACTTATTAATGAGTTTAATAATTTAAGTAATAGACGCATATTATTATAAATCTATAACTGTTGTATTAGAATGTTAAATAAACATGTAACTAAGTAAGTAATATTTATTTGTACAATATAATTTACTAAAATATGTATTATGTACAATGTACATGTCTTGTTAAGAGAGGGCCCAAGTTAAGGAAAGGGCCCAAAAATATTGTAGGAAACTAGGAACCCCCCGAAATCCAGGTCTGCGCACGCCTATGATTATTATTACCTATTTAAAAATATGTATAGAAATGTAAAAGACACTATAGGAAAAATACAGGTTATCACTTATCAGTTATCACTAATATAATTTTTCAAAAATCCAATAAAATAAAAAAAAAAAATTTGTTTTTTGTTATAACCTCTGATGCCGGCGCCCCTTAAAGGACACAAAATTTGGCGGCCCGGAGCAAATGCCCTCCGTCGCCCTCCCTCCTAATACGCCACTGTGGCTCCCAAATTATTATAAAAAAATTAAAGCAATAAACGGATACAATATTATAGCCAATATGTGTGATAATAATATAACAGTGACCTAAGTAAGTACCTACTAGAAATGTAACTTAAAATAGTCGGCTAATGTGTTTAGTTATCGTCAAGTTATTGCTTTAATGATTATAAAATATAAATAATATTAAAGGTACTTGACCAGCATTAATTTTGGTTTCTGGTGCTTTGACGCGACGCCTCTGGAAACCGCGAAGCACAGTTTGAATACCTCCGATTTACAGTATTCTACAACAGACTATAGCTACAATAAGTATAATGTTCTAAAGGTCTACGGCGTCTTACTATACATTTTTTTGTTCTCCAGTTCTTTGAATAGTGAATACCATGTAATTAAAAATTTATAATTATAATTAACCCTTTACCCTTGGCCACGTTACATACATTTATTTGTGTTTGTATATTGCAGCCTGCAGGGATGGAAAACGTTATTTTCCTATAGTTTCCAAATAACGTTTTCCTTTTTTTTTTTTTAAAGTAACGCGCCATACCGAAATGCACTTAAAAGTTATTAATTAAAATTAATTATTCTTAATATTTAAATTTTAAATCAAAATTATAATTTATATAAAAATTAAAAAGTTTTTAAATTTTAAAAGTGCACTATTGGTAAAGATTAAAAAGTAAAGACTTACGTGAAATTTTTTCTTTTCGTGGTATAAATATAATAATGTATAATACTATAATTTATTTTCGTTTTTGATTTCGTTATTAAATTTTTTTTGGTTTTTGGTATTTTATGTTTTCGTTTTTCAGTTGTTTTATGAATTGTTTTCTTTTTATGTTTTCTTCCGTTTAATAACGTTTACCATTTCTGGTATATTGTGAATACGAGTGAACACAATATAGTAAATCAATAGTTATAAATACTGTGTTTATTGTTTTACTCTATTAAAAATAAACAAATAAATAACTTTAAATATTACACAAACTATAACTTATACAGACACATGCAATCGTAAAGTCAAACATTTAGTTCAATATTTTTATTAAAAATTTGTAACATAAAATTATACATTAAACATAAAGCATTATCTAAATAATTATTTTAAACATATATAATATATATATATATATAGTATATAATATAATATAGTACAAATAGATATAATTATGACTAGATTTGTGTTATGACAAGAATCAATATTTTTCTTATTTACAATCTAAAATGTTTACATTTTATTTTTACAACTACAAACATCGTTTTTTAATGCGAACAATACAATTATTTGTTGTATTGTTTTGTGCTAATATACAGATATTATACTAACTGCCTAGTAAATTTACACAGTTGAGCAATTTTGTTTTATGTGGTACAAAGGAACTATAGTTAAGGAAAATGTTTGTCTGTTTGAAAAATAAACATCACAGCCTATTTGTACTCACCAAACTTCAGGATGTATTTTTGGAACTTTAACTCAAGACTCAAGAGACTTAAACTCATAACTAACCACCGATTAAATTAGAACTGGCAGTGAATGTAATAAAGCATTAAAAAAATGTTTAAATTAAAATATCTATTTACAATTACAATTTAAATGTCTGTGTTTTTATTTTTAATGTTCATACTCTATATGACGTATGCAAAATTTAAAATTAAATTTTTATTACAGCGAAAAAACTAAATTTATTATAATAATAATTTATCGTAACAGTGTCCACCTCCTCCCCAACCAACTATTTCGGACTTTGAAACAGAATCGTGAGTATGGCGCAAACATCTATAGGCATGTCTACAGCATAATATTATAATACCTAATCATAACATTGCCTATAACGATGATCGTAAACTCTGGCGAAAAAATCACAGACACAATATATTTATGTAGGTATATTATATATAATGATAATATATCAAGGTAGAAATAATTAAATACAAACGAGGTGAGGGAAACAAATAATAATAATAAATAATAATAATGAAGATGAAAAAACGAACAAAATTGGACAGTACGAATAGATTTTTACACGCGGAAGAATACAAATATGTCGACAATGGGACGGCGGCCACACTACCAGCTTCAAATACCAAGACGTGTTCCTCGGTCATAACTTCGGACTTTGTCAAGCACCGTATCCATCGCCTCACACACACACACATTATATATCATATATTTATATATATTTATCGGTAAACCGTGTGTAGATCGGTCGGTCGGTCTCCTCCTCATCAACAGGGATGGCTCACGTTGTACACGACCGCGAACAGTGTGCAAATTGCGTACACCCCGAGCGCGAACCACCATATCAGCTGCTCGTGGAGCTTTTGCTCGAAGTTTTTCAACACCAGCAGACCGATGGTGAGACCGGCCAGCGCACCAGCTATGTGAGCGACGTAGCTGACGGGAGGGGCGTTCGACGATGGTTCGAAGGCGTAACGGCAGTACACGGCGAATCCGACGTCTACGCTGGCTGTGGAGGCACATGGAAGAAAAAAAAAAACCAACTTCGGTTAGACTATGGTTAGACATTTCGTCAAAGGCCGAGGTCTCGGCTGTCGGTGTAAGACTTATCAACCGTGCACATTGTACAGCAATTATACTATTATTGTAGTATAATATGTAATACCATGTGTGATATTATTTATACCCAGACAATTATTGGGCTTTAAATGTTTTGTATATTAGGTTAGGCTTAGGTTATATACCAAAGGCGAAGTTGTGGGCGCTTGTAAAATTGAAGTTGTAGGTACCTATAATATACCAGTTCGTAATTTTATTTTTATTTCGTTCTCGAGAAGTTACGCTATTTTTTTAAAACATATATTATTTTAATTGTTTTGATGATTTAATAATTAATAGTAATACATTCTCGTGAAATTTTAAATGTGGTTCCCGAAAACAGTATAAAAAGGTATGTATTGAACACAATATGTGCACGCTAAACGCTCAACCATCGTTATAATATACAAGTTTTTTACCCACCGACTAATAAAATATTCTTATTGTATATTTTTATCCATATTAACTTTATTACATATAATACATATAAAGGATAACTTACCGATGAACAGTATGCCAAGCAACCGAAACACTCCGAATTCCATGTTGTTGTAATTCTGAAAAAAAAAAACACTTGTATAGATTTATTTGTCGTAACAATTATTTCCAAATCAAAAATATCAGAAATACTGAGTTTGAGTATTTATTTAATCAAAACGATTTTCAAATTTTTAACTATACAAAGACATGATAATCCTTTTTAATTTTATATAATATTAAACTGTTCCTACACTAAATAAAATAGTTATTTCTTCTTTAAAGTAATACCTAAATTGTTTCGTGTTTACTACATAGTTGGTGGAAGAGATGATATTAAGACGTCGGATACATAATGTTATAGTATTATCAATATGACTAAACCTATACATATTACGACTCACAAATCAGTTTTATTTTGATATTTTTATTAGATAAGTTATAAAATAAATGATCTTACCAACATAACGTTAGCTAAATGAGCAGCCAATAGAGCATACACTCCACCCGAAGCACCGACCAGATACACGTTACTATCAAATACCGACGTACCCAAGGAACCTATAACACAATATCGATGTTAGAACAAAATTTAATTATTTATTCCAATTGTTTTTGTAAAAGTTGTACGAAATTATATTATATAAGTAAATAAATATAATATGAAGCTCTTTAAGTTGAATACATACCTGCTAACACACCAGCCATGTACACAACCCCTATTCGGAGTGAACCGTGCACCATTTCTAATGGAAGACCCACAAGCAATTGGACAGTCAAATTGAATATCAGATGGACCCAACTAAAAACAACAATTACAGTTAAAAACGTACAGGGCACATAACATAAATTACAGTACATTTTTATTTGTTGGTAATACTAGGTAATAGTTTATTTACTATTCGTATCGAAAACCAAAATGTAAAGCAACACTTTAACACTTACCCAACATGTAAGAACATGTACAACATAAATCTCCACAATTGTTGTCGTTTGTCAGGTCTATATATGAACACGCTGTCCATTGGCACAGGAGCGGCGACTGATGCCCATATGTCACCGGGAGCAGGTGTAGAACCCAAAGTTAGAGAGTAGTAATATAGGTAGGTTCCCAACTAAAATAGTGAACAGAAATACCACAAAGATTGTAAGATAATTGAATATTATACAATAAATATGTCAAAAACAATACACGCTGTTTGTACAAGTAACGTAAGTCGTAACCAGGATTTTGGTACGGGGTTGGGACAACTAACAATAGTTCAACCAAGTAAAATATGTCCATTATATTTTTATTATTATTAACATTCATTTAAATTTTAAATATTATAATGCAAACGATTATAATACAAACTATAATTTTTATAGTTATTAATTACTAGGTACCGATTTTAATAGAATAAAGCTATTTTTAATTAATATTTTTTTTCCTGTGGCACAATAGAAGGGGGTCTGAACCAAAATCCACCACTTTCGGTGTGCCACTGATTTGTTCATTAGTTGTTTGAAAATAATTGAAATAATTGTCTATAATAATATTTTGACCTTCAAAACCGACCTAAACCTTTAAACTTAAAAAATGCTGTTATCATTTTACAAAATAAAACGTTATGTAATAATAATTATTATAAATTAATATTTTATTTTATAGATAAATGTAATAAGTGGTTTCTATGATTCAATTGTAAAATTATAAATAAATCAAATTTTCTGTCTTCAACACAAAAAAAATATGTAATTTAATCAACAAAATAAATGATAATTTTAATTATACTCCCACTATTACCTATATTATTACTTCCTTTAATTTGTTTTTATTTTAGATATATATATATATTATATAGTTATTATTTTTTTTATTAGAATGTTTTTTTCATATTCTTTTAATTTTAATTTATTCAATGGAAACTTTGGACGTTGAAAAGAAGTTGTACATAATTGTTTTATATTTACGTTCAAAAAAATAACAACATTAATTTTCTAAAAATTTAAAAGTTATAATTGATTGATATTTGTTATCAAACATATAAGTATGTACCAATTGTTAAATAATACATTTTATAACCTTTTCTCCTTAGTTATCAAACATATTTAGAAAATGTATATTTAAACTTAATTCGTTCCATTATAAATATACAGGAAACGGAGTTCATAAGGAAGTGAGATGTTAACCCTAAGCGTTTGTAATGTGCCAAGTTTCTGATGGCGTTGTAATTTGTAGTAGGTACCTACTAGCACATAATTTTATTTTGTCCATCGCGGTATTACGTGAATGATGAATGTGTCAAATGTAAGTTGAAGAACATAAAGGTTATTTAATATTTTATGTTATTGTTATTCTCTTATATGAAATTAACAAAAGGTAATACCTACCCAATTTAACACTGTACATTTTTTGGTAACCAAATATTAGTGAATAACAATAACATAAAATACTAAATAACCTAATAGGTGGTACTTTATAGTATATAGCAATTTATCAAAATGCATTAAATGCAATACTCAACCAAATCCAGGATACCTGGCCGCCTGGATACCCTATACTGTAATATAATTTGAATACAAAAATAAATCCAAAAATTAAACCATTTTTAGATATCCTATTGTATTCAAACATGGTGTTATTTTAAAACGAACTGCATATGTAAAATATATATAATATAAATGAGGTTTTTTTGGGACAAATCCCAGACAGAATAAGAGCACGTGTCCCTTTTGATTTACAGACGTTTCGATTTCCGGCATTACGTTTCTTGTGGGTGTATTATAGTAATATAGTACTTTTACGACACACAAAAATAGACAGTATATTATAATATATTCACATTACGGAATAAGGATTTTATATATTATAGATTAATGCTTACTGGTACATGTTGTGTGCGTTTTAGAAGAAAAAAAAAATATTTACTAAAAATCGTAAACAATTTTACAATTTTACTTTTACGTTTTATTATTTTTATACATAGGTAGGTACTTATAATAGTAAAATATATAATTATTACATACATTTATTCTTTATTATATGTCTACCTATATATGGATACTAATCCATTTCCATTTAGCGTTTGATATTAGTGTTGTAATTGATGTCATTGCAAACTGCATATTATTCAGAGTAACTACCTACCTACATATTCTAGTAATATTATTTATTGTTAATTGTTATAAGTTAAGACATGGTACCTACACAATATTATGATATTCTATTTTTACTATAAAAATTATAACTATTTAACTATTTAAACTAAATTTATAGTCGTGGCATATGTAATTATAATTTACAGTTAAATATACTGTAATAGTAAAATGTACAGTCTATTATCGTCCATTTCCGTGATGCATATTAATTTGTTTGTACATGTATTATTATATAAATATATAATGCATACAGAACTAATAAAATAATTCTCATCAACGTTTTGGACTGATAGGTTTCTAAGTTTGTGTTTGCAGTTTTAAAAAAATACTAATCACAATTTCAATATTTCACTTTTTTGTTTGTTGGGTTTTCTTTCCATCCAAATACAACCAGCATTGAATAATATGTGGCTTTTCATTATTTTGCACGGAATTCGGAATATATATCTACAATATATTGCAAGCTGCATAATATATGCCTATGAAAGGAATTAATCACTCGAAAAATCCGGAGGGGATTATGCCTTTTTAGAAATGTAGACAGCTGTAAACATTAAATGGTTTTCTGAAAATAGGAAATAGCCTGGGTCTCGTTTTGCCCCAAGGGTATAATTTAACTCGCGTTTGACATCTGTTACAATTTCTTTTTCCTTCTTTACTTCTGCTCTCAATACAGGCCACGTGCCACATGGTGTCTAGTACATAATATAGGTATTAGGTAAACATCGCCACATCTGAGATCATTAATGATGGTTATTTATTACTATACTATTTTTAATGACGTGCAATAATTTGTTTTACTATCATCTTCAAAATACATTCATCGCTCCGCTCAGAATCTAAAAAACTACTTGCAAAAATTATAAAAATAATGCTTGTTCTATTAGTTGCAATATAAAATAATATGATAATACTTTTCTAAGTATTAAATAGATTATTGTTTATGGGTATGTGTAATGTGTATAAGGTTAGAGTTACCTATAACTAAGGTTTAAGTTACCTATACATAAAATGTCATCGTTCTGAAATATTCTAAATAAATGGACTTATATAACCTATATCGTTCAGTTTTTTCTACAATTTTACTGAACTTTAAATGCATTTTGTGTGCATAGGGGTTCAACACGGGGTTTTTATCAACCGTTACTGGCGGAGTATCGTGAATATAGGTACATATTATTATGTTTTATTATTTAATTTAATTACCACTATAACACGGTTTTCTCGCACCAGACTTATTTACCCTCACCCCCTCCCACACAACCACAACATTGATTAATTCCTGGTTATGTTACTGTACGAATCGTGATTCGTGAACATTACCCCTCGGACATTCCCCCCCACTGTTTTTGGCGTAGTAAGACATTTTCCCCACACTTTTTTTGAAATTTTAATATTTAATATGAAATTAATTTATGCCTATTGTCTAATATTTTAATAAATATAATTATAAATTATAGATGTATATTTTTGATCAACTGAACTACTTGAATCAAATTCACAAGCAATTATTAAATAGTTAAATATAACATAATATTTGTAACTGGTACAGTTTTAACAAAAAGAAAATAATAAATATGAACAAGGCTAAAAAATATAAGTTATGAAATAACAAAAGAATCAGAATTCAAATGTACCATTTTTATTAATTATAAATTATATTTTACTATATACCTACCTACTTATTTTTTTTTAAAATTTTTATTGTTTCAAGTAAGTTGTTTAGTTGATTAAATATATACATCTATATTTATAAAAATAAAAACAATTTTATTTAAAAAATAAAAATTCATATAAACTAATAAATAATATTATATTATTAAATATTTATTACAATAGAAAACTGATTTTATTGTAAACTTACCTCAAAAATTGTAATGAGTAGTATAAAGAGTGGCGGTGGGCAACAGCGATAATTGTCTGCATAATATTTCCGATCTCTTTCGTCCGTCAAGAACTCCTCTGCCACTAGACGTACCATTCTACAAAAAAAAAATATATAACATTAATAAATGTAGAAGAATGCAAACTTAGATCATATACTATTTTAATGTAATATCATAATAATATACTCAATGGTAATAATATGAACTAAGAATACAAAAGACAAACAGAAATGATAATTATTATCAATGATAACGTAAAAGTCATCGGTGTGACATAGATTTCGAAGAATGGAAACAAATTAGTTACAGAAAATAATTCAATTAAATAGTCGGCAGTTTATCATGATCTAGTAAACTTTGGATTAGAAATGTATTTAATTTACGGTGGTTGGGTTTTAAGGTCAACTGTTAATAGTATGTTCAATTATAATAATAAAATATGAACCATCGTAAATCGTTAACTTGGATGATTTTAATTTCAATTTTCCTGAGAACGTACAAATGATTTTGCTAATTAATAAATATGTATTAAGACTAAAACACATTTATCTGATAATATGGTATTATAAATTACCGGCAATACTAAAATATCAGCGATAACGACAAAACCAAGTAAGTAAAATTATTTTATAGTAGATTTATTTCTACCTAGTTGTTATTTCTTTAACTTAATTCTGCTAAATTAATACCCATAAATATACAATATAAATTATGCAAGTTATCGGACAAGGGCAATTAATATATATATTTTTTTTAGTTTTTTTTTTTTTTTTAATACTAAATTTAAACACTTTGTAGAAGATGCAATGAAAAAAATATAAGGCATTACATTACTACATGCCTAATAACACACTAATAACTAACAATTAGTAACAACTAACAAGTAACCATTTTACATTTATAGATAAAAGTAGTTATAGGTAAATGTGTGCGCTTACTTTTGGTGTAAAGTTGGTTCTTGGAATATAATATGAAAATCGTTTTCGCTGTTAACTTCTTTGTCCCTGTGATGAATGGCACATTTAAAACTCCGCCTCCTTTTGCCGGACATCTAAAACAAATGTTTTAATGAGTACATCTGCTGTTTCGTGATAAACAATACGTTTTAAAATTAATTTGTATCGTTTCGTGTATTACAAACACAATTTCATAAGTAAATTTACGACCAATATAATACAGTGAAATTATTGTATTGTATCTAATGAAATATTATTGGTAATATATATATGTATTACAGACATTTACATCAGGTATATTATTATTTAATGTAAACCAATTTACAGTTTTAGGTATTATGTTAATTCTTAGGTTATCTAGTGGTTAGCTATTAGCTCTTACAATTATGTAGCCTAAAAAATTATTTTAAAATAAAATATATAACTTTAATAATGTAGGTATAATGTTCCAAAACAATACATTTTTATTTATCTTTTAAGTCTTATATATTATACATATCTATACCTAGTCAAACTAATAGGCATACTAGTTATTTTTCAACTTTATCAAGAGTTCTTAAATGCGTAAATAATAATTTTTCGTAAGATTAAATTATTTATTTACAAGTGTTCGAAAAAAAAAGCAATGAATAAAATATATCGTTTAGTAAAATTTTATAAAATAATAAATCAACAATGATTAATATTTGTAGGTATATCATTTTACTATATTAGATGATTTAATTCCAAATATAAATATTAATACCCAATTTGATTATGACATTTAGAACTAAATTGTTTCCATTTTCCATCATGCATAGAAGTTATAAATTTATCTTATAAATAAGCTTCTTTAATATTGTACACATTAATACAATTTATAATTGACATTCAATCGCTAAGATAATGTTTTCTTTTATCTTCTATATCACTATAGTTTACACGTTTTAACTATATGTCCATAGGTACATATATTGTAATTTCTGTACGATAGTTAAACAACTTTTATGTAATGAGATAATACGCATTTATATGGTAATATAATAATATGGAGCAATGTATTTTTATTTGTATTAATATTATTCAAAATGCCTTTTAACATACATTCAAGTAATCCGCTGGCTATGTTCCCGGCGCCAGTTTTTTTTTTATTTAGAATTCACTGTAGTGCCTCGAACTGAACGGAAGAGCTGAAGAGGGAAAGGACAAAAGCGTTTCGGCACGATTGTCCAGGCTACGAGTCGCATATGAAATGAGGGCCATCTTGCCAAAAGAGAGAAAAATACAAAAATGTTCGTGTGCGTGTACGTATTTTATAGAACACTTATTATTCTCAGGATTCCCTAGATGAATTACGACCAAGTTATGGAAATATTTCCGTTGTCGGTTCGATTAAGAATATAATAATATGTAGTTTAGGAATGTAGAGAGAGAACCCAAAGAACTATAAACGAATAGTTGAAAAAATATAACCAACGTAAAATAAACAACGGTTCACAATTAAATAACACTCAAACTATATTATCAAGCTCTACAAGCTTTAATAATATAAACATTTTTTTACGCAAATAGTATTGTACATAGTAATCGGTTGTTACAAATCACAATGAGGCATTGAGGCATGAGTAGGGCTGCTTCTATACGTAATACGTATATATAGATACGCGAACAAGTAAAATTCACGATTGTGTTATGTGACAAGAGCTAGGCTTTTAAAGGGTGGAAAGACTTAGCCCGTCACCTAAAACAAATTAAAACGCTTCCCCTTTAGAGTTTAGACTGTAACATTTACATCAATCAGGACGTTGGAATGATTAAATCTGCTTTCAAATAATTGTCTTTATTGAAAGTACATTTATTTACTTTAGAAAGTGTGTATTGTTTCACTAAGAAATAATGATATTTTATCAAAAATATTTAGTTTGGTACAAAATAGTTTAATAGTAAGGTATATCTACTTGTTCAACAAGAACAGTTTTTTTCCATTTTAGGCTAAATGTGTTTAAAAATCAATGATAACAATTAACAGATTTCTATAGAACTAATAAATTGTTAACTTTTTCCAAAAACGCCATATTTTTTAAAATATTTAAGTACTCATATATAAGTGTATATACTATATAAATTATAAATATATATATATATATATAACGTTAAATATATAGAGGTCATTGTCCTCCCTCCTTGATATATTTGTTGCCACTTTAAGCCCTGCACAAGAGTAGTAATATATTATATAATAAATAATAAATAATAAGTGTATTAAATTAAACCCTCGTCGATGAAGTGACGTTTGAAATGGAAAAATTAATACATAAATATTGTCATAGATAGGTACTATACAACTCTAATAGGTTTATGGCTTGTGAGAACCGGAGATCGTATTTTCATAAATTCTTATTAATAAGGAGCGCCTTCAATTGCCGCCACTCCTCAAGTATGCATTAATAACTCCGGCGTGGTAACTTTTTATGTTCTCGTGGACCGAAGTTAATTAATTGTTGTTAAATAAAGACATCTATATAAAACTTTATAATTAAATCAGACTCATTTAGTTCTCGATATCGATTAACAAACAAACAGTACCGTTATTCAAAACATTTATATTTTATATCGTTTATTTAAATATCTAGTCTTTAAATAATACAATTTTTTTTTATTCGAATACGCTATTCAAGTGGATATACATTATAAAAATAGAGTTTGAGTAATTTAATTTTACGCTCGGTCCATCTTGTATAGTCGATGCGTAGGTAATTCACAAGTTTCGCCTTTATAAATTATATCAACCAAAATATTTTTTAATTAGACTTCGCTGCGCTTGATTGGCAATATGCTTGAAAAAACCAAAATGCTCCTATGGGAAAAACACGAATTATCACCGGTTAAAAAACGAAATTTCTAATTACTGTTTACGGCGAATTGTGTAATACCGAATCCACTCTCTCATCACAGGTCTTTCGGTGTCACGGACGGTCATGGGTACATCCTCTAGTTAAGAACGCTAAAAAGTCTCTATGGTGAACAACATATTTTTTCATCGTTCTCATTATTCTTATTATTCACTTGAACGATTACGACTAGATAGGCTAATGACGTAACCCTTCTTGTATGTATGGGTTAATCAGTATATATTTTCCCGTCGACATCAATTTGTTACACCAACTACCAAGTATACGAAAATGGCTGAAATACTGAATATAATAAAGCAAAATTGTATATTATGTCAAATAAAAGCAAAGTTAAAAAACCCAATAGATTAAATTTGAAATCATATAGGTAGTCGTGGTACCTAATCCAATCCTATATTGTAAAATTTACGCATAGAACCTATATATTAATTATGTATTTTTATCATACAGGATGATCCTTTAACGTTAGACACTGATTATTTTAAATACTAGTAATGTTTTTGAAAATATTAAAAAAAACAATTTACTATTTTTTTCTTGTTTCATCGTTTTTTTAATTTTTTTATTGACAACGTGCATTTTAAATTTTATATTCCAAAACAGAATATTATTTGGTGTATTTCGTTCTAAAAATTCAAATTTCGGATAAGTAGTTTAGAATTCATAACACATAAATTGTCCAAAATTTGATTTTTATAAATCGAAGTACCTATACCTACCTGGCTACCTACTTCAAAAAATATTATTATTTAGAATACTTAATTAAAAATACATATTTACTTTAAAAATGGTAAAAAGAAAAATAATAATTACAAAAAATAGAAGAAATATATATATTTAGAAACATTTTGTTTGATACGACTTAAAATTATATAAAATAAATATTTTCAGAAACATTAATAGTTTTTGAAATAATGAGTCTCTTGCATTAAATAGGTCATCTGGTATATTATATAAACCTATATGTAAGTAATATAACATATATTAATTTATTATATATTATAAAGAGTACCTAGTTCAAAAAGGGGGAAGATTGTTTTTACAAAAGCAAATTAGACAAAAATTAGAATCCATTTTATGATGTCCACGACAAATTTGTGTTATTTTTGGAGTTGAAGATTAGAGGATGAGCAATGAGTGTCTAGTACGGAAATAGCCAAACAGGAAAATGTAACATTTAATGACATATTTCGAATCGCTAACAGTGTCTCGCATTCGAAATAATCGAATGGTTTGACTATAGAAATGTTTTTCGTTACTCGAAGTCTATAAGTATAAAAATACGAAAGGTTTTTTCTTTTTTATAATTCGGTGACTGAATTAATATATATATAGATAAATTACAGCACAATGCGCAAGCGGGATTGTACAAGAGAATATACTATACAGGTGTTATACAGGCTATACAGTACATACAGTGTCTTAAGGAGGTCGAGAATCAAAGATGTTACATTCAACGGATAAATAAACATAAACCTAAAGAACTGAATAATAAGACTTGATACGTCTTCTATCAGATTTATCGGTGGCGTCGGGTGCAGTGGTAGTGGTGGCGGCGGCGGCAAATCAAAACGACATGGTCGCGCGTCGTTTTATTATTGATTTTTTCTTTCTTTTTGTTTTATATTTTTCAACGTTCGAACAGCAGACGACACGTGAACGACGTATGCGAACGGTATTGGCCAACCGATAGGCCAGATAATCCGTATACTTATATAATAAAATATGTTAAATATATAATAATTAATATTAATTTACCACCTAATTATTATTATTTTTTAAATTTTTATTACACGTACATTTTTGGTATAATATGTTCGTCTTACGCCTACCCCGGGATCATATTTACATACCGTAACTTAGTCCACCACATTTAGGTAACTAAGAAATGTAACAGAGTTCGGTATACCACGCGCATATTATACAAAACATATAATAAATTAGTAACATTAATTATAAATTATAATTATTATAGTATGATTTTATCTAAATTAAATGATTTAATCATTTTAGTTACAGTAATTTTGTTAATTGTTTATAACTGGTTTAGTTATTAATGTTACAGTATGTCTTATACGCCCGCGATAGAAACTTGGTTACTACCCAAGATTCGTAGGTATAGTGGAATTACACGTTCGTATACACTTTATACATTATACAGTCGCCGAATTCAGTTACGGTATCTAAATCACACCATCGCGGGGCTGCTGCAGAATCGTTCCCGGTACGCAATACTATTGTACATAGTGTATCTATCGCAGAGTATTGTACTACACACAATACCATAATATAAAACCATAATAATATTATATCGAGCAGCTTCCGCCCGAGCGAACGTCCGACGTCCACCGGGCGCGCGCGTCCTGTAGCGCCACCGCCGCCACCGCCGTGGGACCAGCAAACGACCCGCGCTCCGTGTGTGGCACCGTGTCCGCGTGGCGCTTCCCCACACGCGTTATTTATCAACATATTGTACACAATATCATCGTCGTATATATATATTACATATACAATATTATATAGGTATACATAATATATCATTTTTTATTTATTATTATTTTTTTTTACATAACTTCATTATACACACACGCACACACACCCCGGTGTTGTATCATATAATATATCTATACTACTCTCTCTCTCTCTCTCTCTCTGTCTCCTCGTCGCTTGTGTGTCTTATTATTGTTGTCGCCGTTATTATTTCTGCCCCGATATATATTAGGTACCTATGTATTTTATTACGGACGGCTCTATAATATATAATATAGCCCCGCTGCGGGAGGCGAGCGCTTAACGCTTAACTCGCGCGAGTCATACTCGCACACACACACACACACACACACACACATTGATACGCGCACTGCAGGGACGGTGCACGCTGCACCTATCTCATCTCTGGCGCGACGACGACGATGACGCCCACGCGGCGCGCAGACGGATATTATATTATTATTGTATATTATACACACATGCACCTCTGAAACGACCGTCCTACGTCGTCGACGTATAGCTGCCCACCACCACCAGCGCACACACATCACGATACAAGGCGCTCGCCGCCGATTTTATTAAGTATCTAGCTATAAACACGGTTTGATTCGCGTACGTCTATCGCGCCCGCCCCGTATGCGAAGGCGTATTTCTCACGGTTCTCCTCCGCACCGCGGCAGAGATCTGTCTGGGGACGTCTTATATACATTATATTATATGTATAAAAACGTCACTACATTATAATATTTATACATACATATATGTGCTGTGTGTGTAGTGTGTGTGTGTCGTGTGTGTGTGAAGAGTATTATTGTGTTGTGTACTCTTCCCGCGAGATACGCGCGCGCCGTGTATTACTCATCGTTTGACCGCACGGCTAGCCACTGGCCGCGGCGGCGGCACGTCTCGCCGCCGCAATTCCGGTCTACCGCTCGCAACATGATAAGATTTTGCACAACACAAATAATAATATGAATATATGATCGACATACGGATCCGTATGTAGGTACCTATATTATGCTCGTACGTAATACACATCGTATACCATAGTCGTATATTATATTATTATACGCTCTATTAGGTAGAGGTTACACGTTATAACTGTTACTCTGTAGTGACTAATACGTACAATAATGCAATGTATATAATAAACGTAATATACAATATTTTACATTTGGTTATAAACGTCAAACGTTAAATCTTTTAAAAATTAAAACTACCTAGCTAAGCTGAAAATATTTACTAATTTGTTGTGATTAATATCGAAATGGAAGTAATGCTATATTACAATAACTAGTATATTATGTTTTATATTACTTGGTTTATTAGTTATGAATTTAAGTCGCTTAATTTAACAATATTAATTAAATTGTTATCGTGTTCAAAAAAACTCATAGCAGCAACATAATGGTTTAATTTGGTTTATTAATTTTATTGAAAGCGTATAAGAGGGAAAACCTATATTTTTTTTTATTATTCCAACCCATCTTAGACCACCGACCAAGCCAATAAACGTATACTCAGTACGTGGGATGCAGAAGCTCTCAAATACTACACTCAGACCGAAGTAATCGATCATCTCGTTGAGACCCCTTTGGTTACTTGATAATAGCTAGGTATCGAAAACGTCAATTTGGTTTCTGATGTCTTCGTTCACGTTCTAATAATCGATTAACATTTTTTGGTTTTAATTTTTTTCCTAATGCCCGTATTTAATGAATTCATGAACTCATATGAATATAGGGTAGAATAAATTATTAAGAAATAGGTATCCGGTATTGCAAGTATATTCTGAGTAATCAGATATAAGTTAAATATATTGTCATCTTGTACAAAATGATGACTAATTATATGGCAATGGTACAATATAATATAAAGCATAATATTTATGTCACTGAAATCGTTATATTTAAAATCATTTTATGAAATTAGAATTTACAACATTGAATTAATTAACTATAAAAAATGTATCAATTTATTTTTAAAAGTAGGCATTACCTAAAGGAATAGTCGGTATGTAAAATAAAATTATGGTTGATGATATCTATTGTATAATATAGATCATAATATTATATATTATATTCACTATAATACCTATTATACATATAATCAATAATTATCAATCCATTAAATTACTATTTAGTGCATACGTTGGTTTTTTTTGTCGATTTTATCTCATTACAAAACATTTTAAAAATGAAAACAATTTTTTAAATACATAGATATTGATTTTTAAAACTGCATATTTATATTCCAGTGTTTTGTTAAGTAGTTGCGTGTCAATAACGATTTAGTTGAATATTTACGAAAACAACATTTTATCCATAAACTCGGCACAGGTAGTATAAATTATTAAGGCGTATGCCCTATATTATTATAATACCTCGTATAATATACAAGAAACGTTTTATTACTAATACCTGACGATTGCCGATTGAACAATTTTCTTATGAACAGCACTTTATACTATTCGTAATAAAAGCAATTATAATTGATAATTAACCACGATTAACAAAGGACCCCAAGTGAGGCTATTGTATTCCATATTTTCGGCTGATTTATGTCAAATTGTTAAGTCAGATTATACATTATTAATTTATTCAATATTTTTACAGTTTGCAGGGAGAATATTTTTATTTTTTTTTATTCTTCAAGGAGATAATATGTACTTATTCAATGTTCATCCTTACCAGTGAAAACTAATTCAATTAAGGTAATAAGTACTACTTTTTAATTTAAAAAGAAATTGCACGTGCGATGCCTTAAAAAAATATTTTTTAAAAAAACTAATGGATAATAATTTAATGTATATAAAGAAGAAATATATAAAGAAATAACATGAAATATTACAATTAAATTAATCAATTGGTACATTTTTAAGTATCGTAGGCCTTACTTATAACTTAGGCAATAACGCGTTGAAGTATTTATTGATATTACATAATACGATACATATCTAATATAATACGTGCAGTGTACACATAAATCCAGCATGATCAATATTGGCTATCGTCTAATATTTTGTATAATATTTTCTTTATAATAATCTAATCGTCTAAGGTCTAATCTTAATCGTTGTTTTAATTTAACTATCGATGTGGGGTATACAGTGTACAGGTATTTTATTATCTCAATGAAAAATGGAAGTATAAATAACCCTTAACAGACTAAAATTAAAATAATTTTATTATACTTTATTGTGCTTATCAACTGAATCGTGTTTTCGCTGTACGTTAAAGTCCAGTCAAACATTTTATTAATCAATTTACTGTAATCTAGTTATTAAAACTAAAAATACTAAATAAGAATTTTAACGAAATCGAGCACCTAAATTAGTATGTTATTATAATATTATGTTAACAAATCTGTTTAAAAGTTATAATTTCAGAAACGCATCTATATTGGTTATAAAATTAGTACTACCTACTTGCTATTAAGATTAACATTTATTATTTTTAATGAAAAAGAATAAAAATAATTGCTCTACCTACACTAATTTTCAATCATTTATAATTTACACAAGGTATAATTTTTTTAGTCTGTACCTATATGTTTATAATAATACTTTTTATATGACCATAAATAGGTCTCATTATTATAATGGACACTTAAAAACCCATATTACATTAAGAAATATATTTTAACTAAAATGTTTGGACTTTAAATTGGTTGAATTTAGTCTATACAATATACATACTGTATACACCAACTTGAAGATTTTATCCGTTTAAGACAGAAAATTTAATAAGACAAACTGAAAAGTAAAAAATGTTCAAACTTACCCTCATTATAGAGACACATATTGCACAGAATAGAACACATCATGGTTACCGGAATCATTATTGCGGAATAAGACGTGTTGTTAAAATTATGCATTACAAAACTAAATGTACGAAGATATAAATCACGTGAAACAATAAAACGAAAATTACAATACAAAAACCCGAAGAAATTGATTGTTGCGGAGGAAACGCAGCAAGTCGATAACTACGCAGTGCACAGTGAACTACCGCCGCGACAACTGGACAGACTGAAGGGGCCGACGTCGGGAAATAATCGGTCCGCCTTTTCACCAACCCTAAACCACTTTGACACCGTATCAGCTCCCCACTCATTAACCACGACGCTGGCTGGTATAAACTCGGTATACAACGATCGTAGCGAAACTAGCGGCTCGTGCTGATGGCACGTCAACGATAACGCAGTTAGTATAACTATACTCATACTGTAAGTTATAGTAATAATAATGACTACACATAGGTACATGACTATTGTGCATTTTCTAGTATTTGCCATGGTCCTACCTACTTGGCTACTTCTATAAATTACGATATGAATTCGCTGGTTTCTGAAACTGATTATTTCGATTTACAATAAATCCTTAGTTAAATAATATACAACAACATTCAAATATTTATATAGATACAATGTCGAAGAGGTTCACAAGCGGTAGTAGCCGGTAGGTATAAGTGAAAAACTCACAGGAGGGTGTCAATACCTACGTAAATAAAATGGTTTTAAAACAAAAGTAAACAATAAGTCAGTAAAATAACAAAATATGTAACGATTATTGAGTTTCTTATTTTCTATTTACAATAAAAGTATATCATTTACTTTTAAGTTATAACTACCTATGCCTTTAGATTTTCATTTTAAAGGGTCTCTTTTGGAATTGATAAGGTACTTGGTACTTTCCAAATCCATTGGTTTAATAATTAATAATTAATTAATTTATGTTATTTTTATTATATTTATATTATCGTCATATTGCATACAATAAATCATTTGGCGGGGGACTGAGTGGCCGAGCGGTCTAAGGCGTCGGTTGAGAGGCAGCCGGCGCAGGTTCGATTCCTTGGTCACAGGCGGCATTTTTCTTCGCGCAAGTCACGGTGTCCGCTTCCGGAGAACATGAGCCACATGGCAGATATCTACGAGTGTCCAATCAAAAATTCTGCCAAACACAAACACTCACATGTAAAAACTCACCACTTCAAAACCCTACCACCACCACAATACAACCCTACTAACAGCTAATCGCCATAGATGCCATATATTTATATATAAATTTAATACAGTTTTACCCCAACAGTTTTACTCCAGAATAGGTGGTTTCAATTTAACGGTAATTAAGTAAAAAATATAAACAATATTTCTCTAAATTATATTATTAAGTAGGTAATTTATACTTCCTTTTTCATAATTTAACAATATTTTTTTTATTATATCTAACAAAATGAAATATAAACATTTTGAATAATAATATATGAAAAAAAAAAACAGTAATTTTATAATAGCCTATAGCCTATAGGTATATATATTTTGTGATAATATGAACTTGAGAGGGAATTTATTACAAAATATGAGGTTGAAACTTTAAAAGTTATCGATAACAATAAACATATAGTCATGCGAAAAAGTAAACATAACAATATTTTTTTTTCTTTCTTGACTCAATGTTCAGAGAACCTTATCATACGGTTTTGTTTCTCGTACGGAACTACCCCGCCATCGCGTAACTACTAATTGTTTACATTTAAATTTGATAATAAATCATTTCACTCTATCTAGTATTAAAAAAGAATAGTAAAATGGATTCTTATGAATGTAAAATATGTTTAACCTCTTACTGACGTATACAGGCGTGGACTGGTAAAAAAGGGCAAGGGATGCTACACAAATTAGAGGGCAAATAACAACAATTGTTGGGGCAAATTTAAAACATGTAGATAATTTATAAAATATTAATATATTTTATTTTGTTTTGAAAAAATATTAAGTATTGAATATACTCTAAAAACATAAATAAGTACCAATAGTTACAACAAACTTTCAATCAAAATTTTACAATATTAGATCACTAATAGCAGTAAGTTGGTAATAACGATCTGCTGTTTATTAGGTATCTAGAGTTTTTAAATATATAATAAATAATATTAGGCAAATATATTTTAGGGCAAGGGATGCTGTAGTATCCCAGCATCCCAGCCAGTCCACTCCTGGGTGTATACCTACAATTTATAGTTATAGGAACTTATAGGTACAATAGTTAATAGACAGGTACTTAAATAGTTGGTAGTTAATAGTAAACTATGATTTTAGTTAACTACTTATTAATACGAAGAGGGAACGATAAGTTTCTTAGTTACCCTAATTGTACATTGTTTTTTAACGGCACAGGCAGTTTTAATGTAATTACTGTATAGTCTGTACTTTGTAATATGATAGTTATTAGTTCATAATATGTATAGAAAGGTCTACAAACATCAACTTTATTTTGTTTAATATTTACACTAATTAGAAATTGTTTTAACTTATAAATGTATGTGCAACTTATGTAGTATGTATATCACCATGTCTAAAATCACTAAAAATATAAACAAACAAAAGACAAATTTTTATAATTTGCATTTATGCATTTAATTATAGGTACATATTTATGAATACATTTTTTTAAATTTTTATTTAATTATTAATATAATAAGAAATGTCATAATAATAATAATAGATATGTCCAAAGATAGGTAATTACTTACATAGGTAGAATTTAATTTACAACTTTATAGGTAGGTTGAAAAATATTTTTTAATATCTTTTGTATTTAATAAATAAATTATTCCATATTTCTATATTAAATAAAATAATAATCTTTAACTCTAAATTAAAATGTTGAGAATTAAATATTTCACTTTTTTAAATTTATTTTTATTTGCTTCAATGACTTGGCCATTATATCGCATTGAGTAAATTTATAATATTGTAACTTATAAAAAAATGTAGGATTTGTTGAGTTAGTTTGAATTACACCAAAAAAGTGATGGAAGCTGCAAGCAATGGTATGGATAGTTTTCTGAAAGTAAAACTAGTATAAATGTACCCTTTGGTTTGTTCTATATAATATTTACCCCATTACCATATTATTATTGTTATTATAATTAATTTATTAAATTTCTGAGAAACAAGAATACTGGGCCCTACTGAGTCTCTCGTACTCTTGACCCCTCATCTATGCATTTTTTAAAGTATAGATTCATTTTTAAATATTTTTACAATTTTAAATTTCATATTATAGATTTCACACAATGTATATAAATCATTAGTATAACAATGAAACAAACGAAAGTAGTTCGATGTATTTCCAACGGTCTTCAATATGTTACAACTATTAAAAATTTCTAAAAATAAGTGAACTATTTTACCCAGCGAAAAAATAGATTTCACATTCATGTAGGTATAGAGTAAAATGTGTCACACACAAGACTATACCTGGAGGTCATATTTTGCATTCCACAGACGTACAATGAGTATAAAATTATATATATATATATACAGCTCAATGTATTTGTACAGGATGTGAATGAATACTTGCGATGAGTCAATGAAAATCATTTCATTTTGACGTTATGTCTACAATTGAAATGTCTAATTAGTAATTGAAACACCAAATGTATCTTGTGAATCATGGTTGTTTAGATGATACACTCAGATATACTCAATGTGGCGTAACTCCCAATTTTCCAATGAATCATATATTATTTCTCCTGTTTATATGTATGTATTGAAAAACGTAAATCAGTTTGATGACGTCTAATAATACTACTTTAATTCAGGTTTTTTTTATATAGTCGTCGTATCAAATAGTAATTATTGGCAAACGTTTATATTTTACTCATTGTTTTTTAATTGACTTGAGTTGTATTTAATTAACTAATAGACATTCACATATTCGGTTATAATAAAGCCCTTTTAATAATATAATTTAATGTTGTTTTATTGCTTGGCTTTATCATCTATTAAAATTCAATTAACATCTATGGCATTATAGTTTAAATTGTAATATTTTATATTATAATTATCAACTATCAATTATCATTATCTAGTTTTAAAATAATAAATTAAACTTTATATGTACACAATGTTTTACCTTAAGTATAATATAGGTAAAGCAGTGTATGTTGTAAGTTTTATGTAGTGTATTTCAAAAAAGTGTGGAAGCTATTTCGTTTCTAAGTATATATACTTAAGATTTTCTTTATATAATGGGTGCATTTTTTAACTGTAGACACTAATTGTCACAATATTTTAATATTTCGAATGTCAGCAAACAACATATATTTTAGATTCTGAGGGCAGCTTACTCATAAACAGCATTATATTTTGACTCTTTGTTGAGCTATTTATAGACTTTTGACATTTTTAGTTGTTTTTTTTTATACAATGTTATTTAACACAATTTTTGCACAGTAAAAAAGTTTGAAATTTTATTAAAGGTTCTTCATAAGTAGTTATCAATGGAATTAAAAAAAAAATTTACCTTAAATCCTCAATAATTTTTAGGAGTTTTTAGTGAAATTCGTCAAAATCGAGAAAATTTGTAAACTTAAAATTGATAAAATGTTTAATATTCATACCTTAAATTCCAAAACATAATTCAAGTAAAGTCTAAGTTAATTAAGTTTTGCTTATATAAGTTATAAAAAAAAGTTTGGTGTAATTCAACAAATAGGTATGTTTTGAGTTTATGAAGTTTAAATTTGACTATTTTGGATATTCAGGCGTAAAATAAAGATTTCTCATCAAATGATTTTTTTGCTGTAGTTTGAAAGTATTGACCAATTTTAATTATTCTACTGACACTTAAATAGTTAAATTATTATGTTCTATATATAATATATATATAGGTACACTGATATTTTCAAAATATTTAAACTATTTATTATATATAGGTAGGCATTTTTTTTTGTGTTGATATAAACTTTTAGGCTTGATCTAAATGCTTGAACATTTT